ATGTTCGTAGAGCTACACATACACTGAAAGAGCTTGTCGGACAAAGACGGGGACACAGCGGACGGTGCGGGGTGTGTCCCCGTCTTAGCGGCGAGGCGCGGCGGGACCGTCTGTGGCGAAGTGGGTCGCGTCCCCCGATTTCCGTCAACTCACGGTCCTTCCCCCGTACGCCGTACCACGTCCAAGCAAGTGTCCAAGCACCACGCAAGGGGTGGTCAGCACCACCTGCTGAAAAACGCAAAATCCAAAAGAAACGGAAACTCGACGCAACTGATATAGCAGACAATCTCCCGTCTAACTACCCGCATGCTCCCCTGCGCCGTCCACTCAGAATCCACCCCTCACATCTCGAGCTCGAACCCTTCCCGCCCGCTCACCGCATCCTGAATCGCTTTCTCCCCCTCATCGCCCAAGTTGTTGTAGCTGAGGTGGATGTTTTTCAGCACCCCGCTGCCCGACACGTACTCGGCGATCTCTGCGGCGCCAGTTGGGCCGATGCTGCAGCGACTCAAGCCCAGCGAGGTGAGTTTGTTGCGCTGCCGCTCGACGCGCACGATGCCGAGGGCCGCCTCCTCGGTCAAGCTGTTGTAGCTCACGTCCAAGGAGGTCATTGGCGGAATTGAGGCAATGGTCGCCGAGGCGTTGGTGCTGGGTGACGGTAACGCCGCGCTCCTCGAGCGCGTTGTACACGTCGTCGAGGGCGGTAAGGTAGAGGCCGAGGCGGTGCTGGCACGCCGAGAGGAAGGTGTCGGAGGGGATGATAGAGCGAGGCACTGTGGCATCGGGCAGGCGGAGCAGCCAAGCTCTCGAGCCCACCTGCGAGTGGCTGATGAGGGAGGTAGCCTCCCGATGCGGCACGGTGGCGCCGGCGTTTTGGGAATCGAAGGAGTCGCACGCGTCCTTGGCGACCAGCCACGCGTCGTTGTTGACGACAGCCGACAGCGAGTGCTGTGAGAGGCACGAGGAAGATGTGCCGTCGGCGTCACCCAACAGGGCGGCGAGGGGCGGAAACTGAAAGCCGCGCTTGAGGTGCGGGTGGTAGGCGGAGCGTGTGGTGCCGTCGACCCAGTGACGAACCTGTCCGTCGAGGGCGGCGTGCGGGTGCGTACATCGGCGAGGGCGGAGTCGACGACGCCGTGGGCGTCGACGAGGGCGGCGGCGGTGGCGGTGTTTGGGGGGGTGAGGGACATCTCCCCGAGCGCGGGGTAGACCCTGGCGCACGCTCTCTGGGAGGTGACGGCGGAGGCGAGGAAGCTGGGGAATCGGCGGCGAGCTCCTCCCGCTCGAACGGGTCCTCCGCCACCCACGCCGCCAGCTCGGGCTCGAAGGCCGCGCCCGTGACGTTGCCGCGCTCCGCAGCAAACTCCACTAGCAAGCAGCGCACCGTCGGCGGATCCACCAGCCGGCCGGGCACCTTGCGGCAGCCCTCCGAGTCGCACGGCGCCGCGCGCACCTCGTCGCAGAGCCGCAAGTACGCCTCCTGCGCGGCGGCGTCC